TGAACATCAGCCAGTTCTCTAGTATAGCGACTCTGTGTACTTCCATCTTCTTTTGATGTTTCCGGCATCATTCGGTGGCTTGCTTGCAGATTCCAAGGGAAGCTAGCAGCTAGCTATTCCAGTCTGAAGTTCAGTGTTGATGTTTGTTAGTCCATCAGTCATGGTAGAGAATGAAATTATTCAGAGAGAGAATGTAGGACTCATGCCCTCTCATAAGAGCAGCTGGCCTCAGACAGAGTGCCAAGCAATAAGGACTCATGGGTGATCAGACGACCCGAGAGAGGTCCACAAAGAGTTAACTAGGGAAGTAGGTATGGAAACAGAAACCAGCAGGGGAAGAGAATGTAAAGATTACCCAACGTTATTTATTAGCTGCTCCTGAGAGGTCAGAAGAGATGGTGCATAGAAATAACAACATAGAGCTCTGGGCTAGAGTGTCAGAGGTAGGGTGGGGCGGAAGCCCAAGTGCTGGTGGCTCAGGAGAGAATAGGAGGGAGTAAAGGTGGAAGGCGGAAAACATGAACAACTCTTCCATTACAAGAATAAGCCAAACTGCAACCCATTAGGCCAGTTCCCATTCACAGCAACACCACAGGACAGAGCAGAGCTGCCCTTTGGGTTTCTGAAGCTGTAAGTCTTTAACGGGGCAGAGAGCCTCGTCTTTCTCTTGCAGAGAGACTGGTGGGTTCCCACAGCCGGCCACGGTGTACCCCACTACACCACCTGAGCTCCCCAGTGCTTGTCCATTGAAGGGAAAAAGACAAGTTGTGAAGGTGCTATGTAACAAATTTTTGTTTGAAAACGTGTTGACCATCATTTTGATATTTCGGATTTTATAAGTTACGGTAGCTATTTGAAGAAAGTTGTAGAGTTATTATTTTAGATCTTAAATCATTTGGAACTTATACTGAAGTTATGTTAAGATGTTGATGAGAAAAAGCTTCCAGCAGAGAAAAGTTGAAAGTTCTAGAAAGAGAGAAGATAATTGGTGGAACTAGGTTCAAAAGAAGGAAGGTGGAAATCGGAATGGGCCACTTGGGGAGGATTGGTTTTTGACCAGGTGAAGGATGGGATGGCAACACGTGCAAGTAAGTGTGTAGGGTGGAATGTCCGGGGTGTGATGAGGCAAGAGGCTGGGTGATACCGTCTCCTGCAGGGTGCTGGAATGATCAAGGAGGTCGCAAAAGCAAATACCTACACTTTATCTTAAAAAATGGGCTGTAGAACAAAAGGTTTTAATTGCCAGGGGGATGCTGAGTGGTTTTTATTTTTGTTTTTCCTTTTTTTTTTTTCTGAAAGGGGGGTGGTAGTAACCTGTGGTCTAGAACGAGGGCAGTGAGGAGGTGGTGGTGGAGGTTGAGAGAGGGGCAAAACTTGAATAAAGAATCTGAGTTTCTCAGTCACATGTAGTAGTCTGGAACATGGAAAGAGGGGGTCAAACCAAAAAGGAGCAGGGTCTTTTGAAAGTGTAACCGAGTGGTGTTGATGCTTCGGAAGCAAGGAGGATGCTTTTCTTTCATCTCTCTTCTTTCTTTGCTTCTTTTAAAAAAAATCATTTTATTGGGAGCTCTTACAGTTATAACATTCCATAGTTCAGTCACATGAAGCAGTGTTGTGCAATTGCAAGCACAATCAGTTTAAAAACATTTCCCTTTTCCTTGAATTCCTTGATATGAGCTCCCTTTTATCCCCTCCCTCCCCCACCATACCCCCCAGGAACTCTTACTCCTTTTTTCCTATAATACGGTTTTTTGGTTTTGTTTTGTTTTGCTGTATCTTACACAATCCAATATATCTATTCACATACAATTCTGTTATTCGATCACAGATCCCATCGAGTGCTCCCCATCCCTCTTCCCACCTCCTCACTCCCTGTACCCTCAGGGTCTCCTTACTCTTGTTACTGTTTCTGATGGGTTATCTAGCTTGACTTTCACGTACAGAACAATCTTAAATATATAAGTGAACATATGTAAGCCTAACATGATTAATGAGATAAAACAAATCCATAATAGCAAGGGGAGGAAATATTAAAGAATTAAAGGATAGTTCTGTGGTTCATTCTTGCCATACCACACCCTGGCTTTATCATCCTTTCTGTGTGGCCCTTCTATAAGGTGACCAGATTTTGACATGTAAAGCGGGACACCATTGATAAAACTCATATCCTGGCGAAATAGCCACATGGCAGCCGAAAACCGTATACCCTAGCTTGTGCATTCTTTCCAAAAATCAGGACTTTTTAAAAACACCATGTGACGTGGGAAGAATTGTTAAAAATCGGGACGTCTGGTCACCTTATTCTAAGAGGGACTGGCTGACCCTACCTCTTGTTGAGGTTTCCAGAGCCAGGCGGAGAGCAGAGAAGTTGATTATGTGAAGCTCAGGTGCGGAAAGAAGCAGCTGTGGGAGTGCTTATGAGGGCCCTGTGGAAGCATGGCGTAGGTCTTGTCACCTATATGACCCCTTCCTTGATGGACCTAGCCTGTCTCTGTTTTGTCTTTCTCTAGCTTGTTATATTGTCCCGTAGAAATGTGTGCTTCGCTGCATTCTGTGAGCTCGTTATCTCGTGCGAGAGTAATAACCCTAACCAGGTTCACAGGCTCCTTCTCTTGTACTTGAAATCCTCCAGCACAGTCCCTGTTGAAGTGGGAGGCATGCATTACTTCACCTAGTTTCTGCATCCCACCTCTTCTTTCCTTCCCAAGGACATCCTTCTCTGAGCTCTTGCCTCTCTATTATAAGTCTGGACCATTCCCACTGGCAGTCAAATAGTTCTCACCTCTCCCTTATATATAAAACAAACCACTTTGTTTCATACCCCATTCTCTAGGTTTTTTCCCCATCTTTCAGATCCCCTTCAGAGCAAAACGTAATTTGCTGTCTCGTCTCCCTTGTTTCATGCGTTTTCTGCAGTTTGGTCTGCTCTGTTTGTCATCCCTACCGCCCTCCTGAAAAATATTCTCTCCAAGGTCACCCAGGATCTCTTATGTCATTAGATCCCCGAGGACATTTGTTTGATCTCATAGCACTGTCTGTAGTTAGCCACTCCTTTTTTTTAAAACAGTTTTATTGGCACATAATCCACAGATCACATAACTCAATAGTTCAAGCATATCAAGAAGCGCTGTAAAAATAATTACCACAATAAATTTTAGAACATTTTCTTTTTTCTAACAACAGTATTGAGTCAAAAGGGAGATCGAATGATAAGGTGTTAAATTTTAACCTAACCGCATCTTCAATAATCCACTTCCCAAGACACTCTGCATGATAGCGAGGCTAGTCACATCCTGGTCTTTGGTCCAGGGCATTCACTGGCCTCTGTGTTTACCCTTCTCTCTCTCTTTAAATGGAAACAACTTTTAAGTGGGACAAAAAGATTAATAAGATAATACATTTTAACCTAACTACATCTGCCATCATCGACTTTACAGTGTTCTCTGTCTAATAACAAAGCTAATCACACCCACGGACTATGGTCAGAGGGGATTCACCTGAGGCTTAATCTGTATATGGACCCTGTAAATTATTTGAGGCTTCTATTGTCATCCATAGCGGTCTACAAACCAGGTTTCACAATTCAAGCTCTACCCGCATTCCCTCCTTCGGATTTGGATTTTATTATTTACAGTGCTTGGTCCACACAGCTGTGCCTCTTCTGCGTGGATTTAGTTCGCACCTCAGAAGTTAGCCACTTCTTGAAAAGCTTTGCTCTCCTGGCTTCAGTGCCACACTTCTGCCTGGCTTTCTCTCTGCCTCATTGGCCACTCCTCTGTCTCTTTGACAAGTTCTCTAATGGGGCGTCCTCTGCTGAACTGCCCCAACATCTCTCCTGATCTTTCTCTTTATCAGAGTCTTGTTTTCTTTCAAAGCAGGCCTGCAGGTATTGTCTATCCACCTACCACATTCCAAACCTCTTCCCCAACTACTGCTTGTTGTTTTCCCTGGGACTCCGAACAGATAGCTCACTTAGTGTTTGATTCGATGCAAACACATCCTCCCCCTCCCTCTGTTGGTTGTAAGTGGCATCCCCTGTTGTGCTTGTTGAATGTTTGTTCATATATTTATGCTATGTATCGGGCCCCTAAGTTTGCTCCTATTTTTTCTCTGATGATCTTTACAGAGTTAGGTTTGCATTCAAGTCTGTGCTACTCCTTGAGTTCATTTTGGTGTGTGGGGAGAGAGATGGCTCTTGTTTCATTTTTCTGCAGAGATCCAGCTTTGCCAGCGCCATCTGTTAAAAAAGACTGCCTTTGCATCACTTCATTGGTTTTGGACAGCATCCTTTTACTTCTCCCTTTTCCTTTACCTTAACATTTAATGTCCAGGAAGACCTGCCATTTCCACCTCCAAATGCAATTCAGTCAAGCCTCATGGTCTGAGCCGGTCTAGATAACAGCAGTAAGCATCCGAGCTCAGCTCCACTTCTCTGCTCATTGGTCACAAGGAACCAGACTCCTGGTGGAAAAACCTGTCGGACCATCTCATGTCTCTGCTCCACAGCCAGTTCCTTGTGATGAATTCCCTGGATTCTGCTGCCTGTCCAGCTCGCTTTCAGCTCCTTGCCCCTGCCTTGCCATGCTGTGAGCACGCTGGTCTCCTTTCTACCTGGACTCACAAGTCGTCCCTGCCCACTGTCCCTCTGCGTCTGTTAATGAAGAGGCAATGGGATTAGAGCTTAAACTGTGAAACCTGGTTTGTAGATGGCTATGGATGACATCTTATTGAACAAATGCCCCTAGTTGCTCTATCACATTCACCTTGTCTGTTTTATTTTTGTATGGGTACCCCCACCCCACACACTGACTCGCACAGGCAAATGTCAAGGCGGAGATCGCCCCTGTGCTGCTTCCAGACACCTGGCAGCGTGTCTGGATCTTAGTAGGTCCTCAGATACCTGTTAAATTATTACTCTGCCTTGTTGCTCCCCTTCACCAGTAACCCTGGGCACCGAGTTAAATGGAATTAAATATGTCCCCTTCTCTCTGTCTAGTGTGAATTCTTGGGGTCTCCCTTGCTGAATGTGAGAGCACACCTCCCGAGTTGCTGACGGACAGGATGCTTTACCGGCTGCTCTCCGTTGTCCGACAGCAGCGAGCCAGCCCAGGATGGCAGAACTGGCCCTCAGCAAGAAGCAGCGCGTCAGCCGCCGAGGCGCATTCCATCACGCTGCCTGCCCAGGCGCAGGTGGTCATCTGTGGTGGTGGGATTATGGGCACCTCTGTGGCCTACCACCTCGCCAAGCTGGGCTGGAAGGATATCGTGCTCTTGGAACAGGGCAGGTAAGGAGCACAGCAGACAGGGCCTGCAGCTGTGCTGTACTAGACACGTGGCATCCCCTCATATCCCCTCCTTTCGGTGATGCTGTCCCAGCCACAGCTTGTCTAAAGCTGACGCTCGGCCACCATCCTTGAGCAGGCCACCGTTGTTCCCACCTGTGCCCGTAAAGAGATGCGGTTGCTGTGTGATGTGCACACTGACTGTTTTCTCAGAGGGAGCTTGCCTTCTCGCCACGGGGTGGACCTGTATGTTTTCTGTACTGGTTTGTCATCCCCCTTCACCCACGTATTACAGATTCAAGCTTTGTCAGTCACTGCTGAACCAAAAGAAGTAGTTCAGAACCCTACTTAGTATCCTATTCTATGTCTTCCGTTGGCTTTTAAGTGACATCTCTCACTTTTAATGCATATAGAGATTACATTATAGATTCTTGTCATGGGCTAATGTCACCCCACGAATAGTGCGCGACCCATGCAGCAGTCTCATTTCTGTTTACTTCCTCTTGCTCTTCATGCTATGGTTGATTTCATTTTCCTATATACAGTGAACCCTCGTTTATCGCGGTTAATCGGTTCTAGACCCTACCGTGATAAATGAAATTCCGCGAAGTAGGATTCCTTATTTGTA